AGTCGTGTGCTATCGTTCTCACTCTCTCTCTGCTTCTCCGCCTCTCTACCTCGCTCGAACGCGTCGCAGCTGAAGTGAAGTAGTGATAAATATCAAAGACGCGCTTCTCCCACACGAATTACACAAGAATACTTCCCCTTTGGGAAAATACACGAACTAAGCGTGCGCGCAGAGCAGAGCGGAGCAGACGAAACGTCTGCTTAAAAGCGCTTGCATCACAACAGCAGGGCTTCATTTTAGGCAAGGTCAAGCACGGCGCAACAGCAGATTGAAGAAGAAAATAAAATAAAATTAAATCTATAAATAAAATCAGTCGCATCGACAGGTGATATAGTGAAAAGCAGAGCGAGCAAGCGTCAAGTGCGTCGCTGGCTGTTGGCAGACACTGTGCAAAGGAAACAAACAAAGCGGAATAAACGACACTGCGCAAAGAGGCGACTGACAACAACTAATACAAGCAACAGCAGCTTCGACACCAACTACAATAATATAAAAGAAGAAGCAGAAAGAAAAAAAAAAAACAGTCAAAACAAAAACAACAACAACAGCGGGCAAATAAAACCCGGCAATAATTTTAGTCGTGCCAGTTTGTTTATTAAATATACTATATAAAGCGCATAAAGAAAACAAATATATTAAAACAAAGCATCGACTCGCAGTTACCCTGTAAACAAGTTTAAATTTTTTGTATATATAGAATAAAAAGAAAACACCAAAAATTACTTAATTATTTAAAAAAAATCTTAAAAATAAATTATAATAAAAATGCATCCAATGTGGTGGAAAATGATCGCAATTATGATGCTGCTCTTCGCTCTCTTCGCAACGGTAAGTTTTGAGTTGTTTTATAAAAATTATCCTAATTTTTATGCTTGATGCTTTTGCCAAAACTTAAATGAAAATTAAAAATAATTAATATTTCTGCTATTGGTTCACATTTCTAATAATATTCAATCATTATTATTATCATTATCATTTGGTGTATATAACAATCCCATCATTGCATTTCATTTTGCAGGGTATTTAAGTTGTTTTTTCAAACAACTCTCTAAATACCTCTAAATGCCTGTTCAATATGCGACTTGCTCTAACATTTCCCATATCCGACAGACAGCACACGATTTGTATATTGATGTATGCAGGGAATCATATTTCAACTGGAAACCTAACGCTTAGCAAAATTGATATGAGTCTGGGAACTGCTCAAGCTTACGTAGTATATCAGTTCGCGCTCGAGCCAAAGGGCTGTTAATTAAACATCTATAGATCATACAATGTCTAGAAGGCAGTAAAAATTAACAGAAATCTGATAAACTCGAGTTCAATTATTAAAAAAAATAAATAAATAAACAATATTGCGCTCACTTTAATTATTGACGATTCTAATAACAAAAGAAAAGTAAAAATCTAAGCAGAGACAATTTATAGGCTATAATTAACAATCTTATCTCTAACGGAGGCTAAAGGGGAATGTGTCTGATTTTTGAGCAATTTGAGCTCCAACTCAAATTGAATAAATAACCAAATACGTGAACGTGAGCTGCGTCTCTTAAAAACATATGTTTTTCAATAGTGTGAGTATATCTTTTCAGATTATTGTTATTACTTGAAGTCATTTTGTATGGCTGAAAAATTATAATTACATTAGAGGCTTATAGCAAATCGAGCGAGTGTTAAATGAGCTTAACGAATTAAATAAAGTGAACTGAGTAAAAATGAAATTATTCATACATATATAAGACTACTTGATAATAATGTAGGTTGATCTAAAAGTCGCTGTTCTAGGTTCACGAAATGTAAAAACCTTATCTTTAGAGTAGCTTGAAAATAAAAAATAACTTAGTAAAGCAACTCTATAAAAATTTAACTAATTTATAGCTCGATAGAAATCAAGTTGATCTACTAGACAGACAGACAGCTATAACCCTTTGGGTATACGTAATCGGTATGCTAATTTGGAAACTAGAAAACCATACAGTTATATGAGATTCACCTAGGTCCAGCATAATCATAAACAAAACTAAAATAACCTATGTATAGGGTATGTATATGAGTACGGTAATAGAAACGTATGAGTATGCATACAAATATGAAATTTTGGATTAAGTACTATTATAAGTAGTGCTGCCCCTGCTCTCTTTCAATATGCTTGCTATATCCCTCTCTCTATATATAACATCATATGTACATATATCATAAGCCATGCTCATAGTAATACACACATTCACACACACACACACTTGGTGATTACACAAGCGCGGCTCGGCGGATGGCAGTTGTCATTGCCAAACGAAATATTGTTTGGGAAACGATTAGCAGCTCGTCGCGACAATCATCGCTATTTAATACCCTATCTTATACGCGCGCGCCTTCTCTACCCGCTGTACAGTGGATTATGTTACTATCGAATCGCAAACCAAGACAAAAAAAAAAAAACAACAACAAAATGTTCCACATATATCTTTCAGATAGTTTGTATCAATAGCGAAATATCGAAGCGACGCAGCGAGGCAGCTGCTGCAGTAGCTCTAGAATCGAACAGCAGCTCCGTGGATATGACGTCCTTTGTCTCGCATCATCTACTGAACAAGGCCTCCAAGGATCAGCCGGAGGAGCCGCAACGGGAGAACAATGAGGTGGAGGTGTGCCAAGTTGTGCTTTGTCCTGAATGTTCTAAATGCTTAAATAATTATGTTGAATGTTCTTTTTTCTCTCTTCTTCTTCTTCTTCTTCTTTCTGTTTACTGTTCATTGGGATTTTGTTGGTTTTGTTGATAAATTGCAAAAATTTATGCGTTTCCCAACTTTTTCGTTTCGACACTTTCGCTGCAGCTGCCCGCCGAGGATATTGACGAGCGCGTTCGTTCCATATTCAAAGTGCACGATGGCCATGGTGTGATGCTTTTCAATGTAAGTGAGAGGGGTGACCACCATGACAGCCAATGCCCCCACACATAGTCCACAATCATCCACATCCAATCATTCATCCGTCCACCTACTAACAACCCCCACTCTGTGTTTGTGTGTGCTTCGTTCGTTCTTTGATTTGGCTTTGAAACTAGCAAACAAGCAAAACGAAAAGATAAAGAAAACGAAAATCAATAAGAATAAGAGAAGAGAAACTAATGCAAAATTTACACACACAGACGACGGCCATGAACGATGATGCATCTCTCATGCCCATATCCACAGCCGAGTCCTGGCCATCCACCACAACCAGCACTCACACCCCAACTCAGATTCAAACTCAAAATCAAAGTGAAACTCAGTCTCAATCCACGTCTCAGGCCAAGCCCAAGCACTATCATCAATATCAAAGCCTGAATCATCAGCAACAGTCCTTCAAAGTGCAGCGCTCACCGGATGGCAAGCTGAATCTCGTCTTTAATGAACCAATCGTCTCTTTACAGCCCACCGTACAGCAGCAGCCGACGCAGCAGGAGCAGCCAACGCAGCAGCCACAGCAGCCGCGTCGTCCCATCTCGGATGGTAAGTGGTCTATGTGTAATGATCCACAGTCGGCTATCAGCGACTGTCTAATACACTGTTCACAGGTGTGCCATAAGGCAAACCTCAAAACTATAAGCAGAGGAATATAATTAGGGAATATCACATGTGAAACTCAATTTGTGACAAGCTCCGAGATTCTGATTAGATTTAGACTAATTAGATTAGATTTTGTTACAGTAAATAAGATTTAGTTAATGTTCCAACTTATATATAGAATCACTCTATGCACAGGGTACTTAAAGACTACTAAAGGGGTAGAGATTTGAATCTTGCTGAAGATCTGTCAGAATTTGTTAGACTCTATAGACATTTAGCAGAGGATATTTAAAGATTTCAAAGGGAAGACTATTGTCATTATAGACAAACAACAAGCTTCTTTAGACTCTATAAACAAAGAATGCCTAACGCTTAAACTTATAGATTATCTAAGTCTTCTTAAAGAGCAAGGGCTTTCGAGAGATCAAAAACTTCACAAGACATTTAATGAGTCTCTCGATGCTCAGCAAGTCCGTTAACTAATGCCCTAAAGGTAGACTATCCCACTCCCTAGACATTTCATTTATGATTTAATCAATATTACCCTTAAAACCCATATACTCCGCAAAACACTTGTGAACAGTGCATTGATGTATGTTTTAATTACCTACCCTTAGATGAGTCTACCTACAAAAATGAAAATGAACACTTCTCTAATACAATAATACAATTAACAAATACTAAATCGATATCATGCTCACACAACACGTTCAACTCCCTTGGCGCTTGCCTAACGTCCAGTTATCGTGTTTCCCGACTCCATAGATAAGTATCGACCCACGCGGCCGACGCCGCCCGTGGAAACGGGCGATCTGTGCATGGACGGCTTCAATCAGAGTCGCTCCTTCTGTACCAAGGTCAACAATTATCCGGATATTTCCCGCCTGAAAGATGTTCTCTCGCGCCGTTTTGCCAATTTCTTCGTCGATGAGCCGCAGCCAACGGATTTCGGTCTGCGGATAAACGACGATGAGATGTACCTGTGCAACAGCCACCAGAGGTACCTCTATCCAAAGTACGGCCAGAAATTGGATCTGACGTGGCAGTACATAGTCAATACGGATGAGTTCAAGCAGGGCATACTTATCGAGGAGTGCGAGTGAGTAGAACTGAGAAATTATTGAACAAAATATATAGCTCTATAAATACTTTTGTTCACTTTGCAGTCACGAGGGCGAGACCTGTCAATTTCTGGATAGTTTTCCCAACAACTATGTGCCCGTGTGCAAGCAGCACTATGTGATACGGCACTTGGCCACGATCAACAATGCCAGCAGCGGGCAGCCGGAGGTGGCCAACGAGCCCTTCAAGATACCCTCCTGCTGCAAGTGTGTGATCAAGAGCAAATACTCCGTGGAGAGCCAACCCTAAACAAGACTACCAACGCAAAGAGCCCGATATTACATATAAATATACATATATATGATATAATAACAAGCAAACCATGCCAATTTCTGCACATGTGATTTTGATGTAAGCATTATTATTATTGTTTCATAACACACGAAATTTAGAAACGTGATTAGTGACATAGATCCACTCATTTGATAAGCTTGCGCAGCGTCCAGCCCATCGCATAGAATCCGAGCAGCTTAATGGCCATGCGCTTCCCCTCCACATTCTGCAGCTGCTTGAATCGTCCGCTCAGATTTCCCATCATACCATCCATTGTATGGAATGTGTTGTACTTGGTTTCAATTAGTTTGATAATATGATGTATTTATACACTTAGTAGAAAACAGAAAAACGGACACCGATCATACAGATCGGAAACGAAAATTCAAATTGTATACAGTTTTCGACGATTTTTTCCCGATTTTTCCAAAATTTGTAATTGTTTGCTCTTATTCATTACGAATATTTACGCTGACTAAAACTAGCTTTGTACACTTCAAACAATACGGGTATGTTCGATTCAAAGCCAACTACGTAGAGTATTCGAATTAGTCTCAGATGAAAAGTATTTATAGGTTTTTTTTTTTTTAGGGTAAGTCTATGTACAAGGGAATTCAAATTTAATGTACTAAATACATACTTTGAGCTCATTTATTTTTTAGTTTTTATTTTATATACTATTCTACAAAATATACTCTTGTCTTATATAATCTTATCCTGTGCATCGATTGCTAAATATTGCACTTGGATCATTTATTTATCCTTTTTCTAGATAAATGTATTTTAGAGTCCCAAAATATTCATGTATGTATAATTAAAAAAAAAATATTGATGTATATTTAAAAATATTTAAATATGATATTGCTTAGCTGTATTTGGTGTATGAGGAGCTCCCAGGTTCATACTCCATATATTGAATTTAAAAAAATTTAGTTTTGAAGAGGTAAATCAAGAGGTTGGCTATAGAGTTTTTAGCCTAGAATCGTCATCAAGTATTGCAGTTGAATGAGTGAGAAATGAATCTAATGATATCTATATGATAGCTGAAGTATTCAAAAATATTTCACGTCGCTTGCAATTTTTTGTTCCTCATTAAATTTGAATTTTATTTAAGTTTAGGTTATAAAACTTATTAACACCCTCAACATATGCGTATACGTCTCTGTCATAATTATATATATTATTAAAGTTTATTAAATCATTATTTTCTTCCTTTTATTTTTTTACTCCACAGCGACACGTTTCACCAACCACAGAATGGCAGGCCAAACTGTCTAGGGTCTTTTTTATTGTTTATTTTTATTTGGATTCTCTTTTGTATACTTCGTAGACTAGCTGTTTTATATGCACATAAAACGCATTTTAATATTTAAGTATGAATAATCTAGATATTTGATATTATTACTAATGCTAATGCTAAATGCGAAACACTCATCGAACAGCCATAAATGTAAAAATTAATTGTTTAGCATTTACAACAAATTCTGCAAATACTGACGCTGCGTTTATGCTCATAAAAAGAAGGAAAAAAAAATTAGAAAAAATAAAAATATAATTAATGTTTTCTACTTAATTTTCATGTAAAGTCTAGTATAGTATGCATGTATTTAGTTTAAGTTAAAAAAAATTTTAAAAACATAGCAACTATAAAAGCTTTGTTAAAATGTCGTGCACAAAATAAATTGTTCAAGCAACTGATTGCGCAATACTCTGTAATTATTTGATCCTGAAGAGAAACAAATTGTGGGCATTGAAAGAGGATGAGTTGTCGATAAACAGATATAGGATCTATATATCTAAATAGTTTTTAACAAATTGTCATTTGATTCGAGCTGATTAGAGTGAAAGAAAATGTTATATTACTTTGTATAATTATATTTCAGCAGCAGTTGAAATTATGGTAGTACCTTAATAAATCGTAAAGTTTTGTTGGTAGAAATCATGGCTGCATATAGACTCTATATATATAAGTGTTGTTACTACCTTTCCAAGTAAAGGTCACATTTGACATTAATGTGATATGAACACATATTTGCATTTGTGTCCCATTTCAAGGCGTTTTTGCATTCTTATCGACTGCAGTCCTTTGTGCGTTGTAGCTAAGCAATGACATTTTTTATTAATTACTTAGAGTTCTGTATAGTTGATATGAAACAGGTTATCGGACCTAATAAGTTGCTCACACACTCGACAAGAGTTCAGGCTTGAGTATTTAGCCTGGGCTATTTATACTTCAAATTACATCTTAGGACAGATTTTTGTTTATATATTCAATTTTTATTGATATTTTGTAGTGTAGAACCTGTACGGCAATATTATATATATACATATTTCTGGGTTAGGTCAATGACTCAAATGTTGTATGGAGAATTTTTTTTTTTTAATAAATAAATAAAAATAAAAATTAAAAATATGTATAATATTAAAATATTTAAAATATTAAATAACTGAAATTTCCTTTACATTTGACATAGATTGACATAAGATATCGCTGAAGCTGCTGCTACATATTGAGTCTACTTATCAAGCAGGCTATAGCTTATCAAGTCAATTTTTCCAGCTTGAATCATGGCTTCAGAAAGCCTATATACTCTCTTTCAAATCAAACTAAGCAGAATATTTAACATGTGCTTCTAAATATGTGTGTCTATGTGCCTGTGGGCATAATGTAAGTTAAAGTAAAGTTCTTTGAACTCGCATTTCAAACGACGTGAAAGCCATGTCAAAAGTACATTTTTCTTTGTGGCCAACAAGGCAAATGGCCAATGGCCAATGGCCAGTGGCCAATGGGGTGCAGCATGTAAACATGCATTTGCTTATTAATAATAATTCTGTGCGCACGCTGTGTAAACTAATTACAGCTGATGTGTGGTAAATACACACACACACACACAGAGCGAAAGCCATTCATTGGGCTGGCACATGGGGCGTATGCGCGTTTTGTCTGTCGACTGCATTTATATCGTTTGCTGTTTGTTAGCTGTTGCCTGTCTGTTGCCTGGCGCGCGCCGCAAATCGATAATATTTATTGATTCCAGGCGCACTATATAGCCCACAAAGTATGTCAAAGTTAGGTCGAGCCCATGCGAATGCCTTGACTAAATATCGTTCAGTATTATAGGCCTATATCTATGTATGTGTATGTAAGTGTATATTAGTGTGTATGTATGTATAGAAGTTGGCTTTTAATTATTATTATTTTGCGTTTGAAGGCCAGCTAAAATAGGCATTGGGGCAATGCCCGTCCATTAATCATGGCGCTTACCTATATTGGCCATATATCCCATACAGTACATACGTTTATCAATTATATGTAGTTGGCCGTCCCCAAAGCTACAATTCTAATGGACTTTTTCCCCCCAGATTACGAAACTTTGGCCTGGACATTATTTTGATTTGTGCTCACCGATCCCCTCCCTCGCCCACCAATCTAAGCACCCGCAGACTATTGGAAAAAGTACAAGTTTATGTAGTAACAAATTTGAAATACCCTTTCTGCTAAGTGATGCAAATGTATGCAAATGAGTATATATGTAATGGAAGGTAGCTTAGACCGGTTGGTTTGTGTATATTCCTTATATATTTATCGAAGCTGTTAACACTAACAATAATTATTTTAGCTGAAATCTTTTAGTGTGGTTTTTTTTATATATTGAATTTTTTATTTATATATTACATTTATTTAAGTATTTGAGTCACAAATAATGCAATATTTCGATAATGCTATATTACTCGAGGGACTCGTAAAATAATACGAATTATCGAATTTTTTTTTTTTTTGTTTTTTTGAGAGAATTCCAATGGGAAAAATTAAAAAAAAATATATAAAATGTAAACAGTCGCAACACATTGCTGCTGCGTAGAAAAAGTGCCTGATATGCTGTTTGATAAGCTTCGTTTTGTAGGCAAAAGCTCTGTTAGCTGTCCAATGAGACTTTTGCTACCTTAGCTGACGCCTCTGGCAAGCGTTCTGATGTATCATAGTTTTGAAATAACGAGAGTCGTAAGTTTACGGATTAAGCCAACTAATTCTAGCTAAATATTGAGCCATGAGTTATTTATAACAGGCTATAGATAAGCCAAAGACTTAAGTCAACTGCCATGACAGGCAATTGCTTGTGTCTGCAGCCGAAACTTAAGACCTCTAACTTACCATATATTAAAAAATAATTTGTATATGTTGATACATACATATATATTCTTCATATTATATTATATTATGTTATATTATATTACATTATATTATATTATATTATATTATATTATATTATATTATATTATATTATATTATATGCATATATTACAATATCGCCTGTCTTTCATTGCAGCCTTCGAGTTGTAGTTGTAGCTCATGCATATACTCTGCCCGGCTCAGCCAATAGCATGCGGAAGCATTTATGCCTCACATGTCCTGCGAGTATATTATATTCAGAGCTGGACAGTCAGACAATCGCATAGTTGTTGTTATTGTTGTTGTTGCTGTTGTCAGTTGTTGTTGGCTTGTAATTGCCGCAGCACATTTGCATGGCAAAAGGAGTTAATGGTGGTTGCCTGATTTGTTGTTGCCATTGTCGAATAGCTGTTGCTGTTGCTGTTGTTGTTTGTTATTTGTTTGTTGCTGTGTCGCGCTGGCCTTATAAAAACCTTTGGCTGGCGCCAACACGGCTTCAATTCGCCGGCAGTCGGTAGTTCAGTCGTGTACAGGTGTTGGCAGCCCGTGGTGCTTCTTATTCTACAACTATTTAGCCAATGCCTTGGCTCTGGCACATTTTTCCTTTCAATTTTACATTATGCACAATTATGCAACGGCCTGAATAGGTCAGAGCTGAACGAGTACTCGAGGATTTGATTGGATGCGTGCAAGCATTCGATACAAACTCGACGTGGGATTGATTTCATTTGTATGCGCAACATGTGGTGCGCATCCATGTGAACCACATTCAGTGTTAGCCAGCGCATATTAATAGAACACTTAGCAATCTAACACGACGCCAGACGAGAGAGAAATAATTAAATTCTAATAGGAGTAATAATAAAAAAAAGGTGAAAATCTCTCGGAAAAAATGAATAAACGTTTTAAGATCAACTAAGCGCTGAACGTGTGCTTCGCATTCCAATATGGATGCTGCACCGCCCAACACACGCAACCGCATCTGGACAACCGCCGGCAGCCACAATGTCTACTTCGATGAGACTCTGCAGCAGCAGCAGCAGCAGCAGCGCCTGCAAACACCAGGTGAGTAATCTATGTATGTAGACTAAAGAGCGATTAAGGCAACTAAGAAAAGTATAAAACCAAATTAAAGGAATAGGCTATTAAATGAATCCATAACTAACCACATATATAATATATAATATTAATATAG